AACACTGGTTGGTGACAGAGTTTATACAATTCATCACAGTAGAGGCATGGAGTTTTCTCAAATTAGCATTCCCATGAACAGTTTCACCTGTGTTTTTCATGTATGTGTCTTCTTCTAGCAATTGTAAATTCAGCTGGTGGTTGCCTATCAAAACACATGTCAAAATACCAGAAATGATCTGACAAAGCAACATCAACTACCATTAACATTTGAGTACATTTACCCCCTTTTGTAATTAGCAGGTCAAGAGTGTGCCCCTGCTGTGGTGGGCCACTATGTGCAGAATGAAACCAAGGTCTCATAACAGAAGCCACTCCTTTGCTCATTTCTGTCCATCAAACATTATCAACATGTTACATTAAAATCACCTGAAATACCTAAACTATCAAAATCCTGTGAACACGAATGAAAGTCGTTCAGTAAAATGGTCCAATAAAATCGCAACATGACTGTGGAGGCCTGTACATGAATATATAAGACATTTTCATTCTTTCCTGCCGCTCCACGTGCTTTTCACAAGGGCCCCACGTGATTCCTGCTGCAGGACCTTCGGAGGAGCGAGGAGATCAGGGACGACCGTCCATGAGGGAGTGGCTGATGCTCTTCAGATGGAGAGGTGAAAGAGGGAGAACGCCCTCACTCTGGTGCGAGTGAGAGGAAGGTGATGCCCTCAGACCCTGGCTGGAAGTGCTAGGGTGAATACATCGCTCACAGCAGGCAGTAAGACCTGCACAGTGCCTGATTGTCACCCATGCCCCCTGCAGCAGTGAACCCCCTCCCCTGCTCAGACTCATGTCACCGCTGTCTGAGAGGCCAAAGAGAAGGTTGTGCAGCGGATCCTTGGAAAAGCAGCAGCAACCTCCAGCAAATAACCCCACACAAAGAAATGCCTGTCTTGGGCCAGCCAAAATCCAAATAAGAGGGCGATGGCAGCTCCATCCACGAGTTTTCCAGCCGGTCTACCAGGTATTCTTACTGCTCCACCAAGGTCCTATAACACCTATCGCACAAGGGTTTGACCAACTCCCTGATGCCAAATCCGAGACATTTTATGGACACCTGATTTCTGCCAGAGAGAGCTGGAGGCCACGCAGCAGAGAGTGAAATGAGCGGCAGAGAAGAAAAGGAAGAGTGATGAGTCCTCCTCCTCCACTGGAGAAAGTGCTGGTTCTGCAAACGCAGCTGAAGCAGGAACCAGTCCTCACATTCATACACAATTCCCTGGTCTGTCAGAAAATAACATCTACTGCCCTGCCAAAGTGATTCTCCCTGTACAAGGACCAGGGAAGAGAACGCTGATTTCCAGCAGTCTCCTTTTATGACCGGGAAGAGGGAAAAGTGAGGCGTGTAAATAAAATGAGCTATCGCTGTCTATTGGTGCCTATTGTATATAGTTAAACTATATTAAACCTGACTGTTTCAAAAATGTATATAAATATTTTAATTTTTTATGTAAATAAATACTTAAATAATGATTATATCTAATTATAAAATTTCATTTGTAAAGTCCTGCATCTACAGTTCTGTATAGTCAGCTCTCAGCCGTCACAGTCACAAGGCTCATCACACAAATACTCGTTTAAAGAAGATAACTATAGCATGTTGTTGTTTTTCTTCTAAGTGTATTTCTTAATTTGTAAATATCATCTTCTTTTCATCTGGTTTCACAATAAATAATTATAATGTCATACATTATTGAAGTCTTTCTTTTTATTTGATCATAATTTCAGCAAACACAGTAGAATTTGACAAACAATCTGGTAAGAAAATAGAGTTTCAGTTCAGTGCCAATCAACAATAGCCCCACTATACGCGGCTAGGCCCCGCGGCCCGACCTTGCCTAGCTTCCTAGATCAGACGAGATCTGGCATTCTCAAGGTGGTATGGCCGTACGCACGGGGGTATGGAGCAGCGTGCCTCCGACCACGCTGCTGCGTCCTCTCCATCCCCAGAATGAGCGCTCAGGCCTTTACAAAATCCGGGTCTAACAGTGTGCTGACCTGATCATGCCAGCAGACTACTGAAAGGATGTTGTGCAGCATAGAGCACATTGTGCACCCCCTCAACCCTGATAGCATTTGTATAGCTCACAGCATTCTCATTTACAAGTTTAAAGCTCCTGTGTAGGAGGGAGGATGGGACAAAAAACTACCGTCAACATCCGAATCCCATAAGTTTTCACGTAATATACAGGGCCGAAAAAGCTAATCGGGTTGAGTGTGCACAACTTTGCTCAAGTGCCTGCACAACCCTTCAGTCAGTCCTGCAGCATGATTCAGGTCAGCACACTGTAAACCCGATATTGTAAAGGCCAGAGCGCTCATTCTTGGGAGGAGAGGAACGCGAGCATGCAGGGTCATGGAGGCAACGCTGCTCCATACACCGTGCTTACTGCCATACCACCTGGAAATGCCCGACTCTCGTCTGATACTTCGGAAGCTAGGCAAGGTCGGGCCGCGGGGGCCTCCTCGTAATGGGCATATTGTTGATTGGCACTGAACTGAAACTCTATTTTCTATACAGATTGTTTTGTCAAATACTACAGTTATAATGCCCTGAAAATACTGATCAATAAAAAGAAAGACTTCATAAAGTATGACATTATAATATATTTATTGTGAACAGATAAAAAAGAGATATTACCAATTTAAGAAATACACATAGAAGAAAAACAACAACAGCTATCTTTATCTTCTTAAACTAGTATTTGTGTGATGATCCCTGTGACTGTGACGGCTGAGAGCTGACTATCCAGAACTGTAGATGCAACTTTACAAATGAAAATTATATAAATTAAGATATAATCAATATTAAGTATATATTTACAATAATAATTAAAATATTTATAAAACATTCTATGAACAGACAGGGTATAATAAAGTAACAATATACAATAGCACCAATAGACAGCAGAAAGCTCATTTAATACACGCCACCTTTCCCTCTCGCCGGTCATAAAAGGAGACTGCTGAACATCTGCGTCTCCATACCCCTGGTCCTTGACAGGGAGAATACTTTGGCAGGGCAGTAGATGTATTTTCCTTACAGAACCAGGAATTGTGTATGAAATGTGAGGACTGGTCCCTGCTTCAGCTGCATTTGCAGAACCAGCACTTTCTCCCAGTGGAGGAGGAGACTCATCACTCTTCCTTATTCTTCTCCTGCCGCTCAAGCCATCACTCACTGCTGCGTGCCTCCAGCTCTCTCTGGCAGAACTCAGTGTCCATACAGGACCTCGGAATGGCATCCTGGATTTGTCAAACCCACTGTGCGATAGGTGTTATAGACCTTGGTGGTCTGCATTAGAAATACCTGGTAGGACCCGGCTGGTAAAACTCGTGGATGGAGCTGCCATCACGCCCTCCATATTGGAATTTTTGGCTGGCCACAGGACAGTCATTTCTTTGTTTGGGTTTATTTGCTGGAGGCCTGCAGTCTCGCTGCATTCCAAGATCCGCAGCACACACCCATCACTATGTACTCCTCAGACAGCGTGACATGAAGTCTGAGCAGGAGAGGGGGATTCACTGCTACGCAGGGGGCATGGTGACAACAGGCACTGTCAGGTCTTACTGGGGGCCCCCCCCCCCCTGGCTGTGAGCGATGTATTCCCCCAGCACTTCAGCCTTGTCTGAGGCATCACCTCCTCTCACTCGCACCAGAGTGAGGGCTTTCTCCCTCATCACCTCCTCCCTGAGAGCACCGCACTCCCACATGGACGGGTCGTCCCTGATCATTCCTCTCCTCCTCCTAAGTTGGTCCCAGCAGCAGGAATCCACGTGGCCCTTGTGAAAAATCACAGTGACGCGGCCAGGAAAGAATGAAAATGTCTTATCATATATACCTGTACAAGGCCACCACAGTCATGTTGCGCTTTTATTTGACCATTTTACTGACTAACTTTCATTCGTGTGCACAGATTTTGATAGTATAGTTATTACAGGTTTTTAATGTACATGTGAATAATGTTGATGACCGAAATGCAAGAGCTTGCTTCTGTACTTCGAGACCTTTGGTTTCATTCAGCACATGAGTTGGCCCCACCCAACAGCATGGGGCACACTCTGACCTGCATAATTACAACAAGGTGGATAATGTATCAAATTTTAATGTACGTTTTTGATGAAGCTTATTGACAGATCATTTCTTGTATTTTTTGACATGTGTTTTGGCCTAGCAAACACAGCTGAATTACAATTGCATAGAAGAAGACACATACATTAAAACACAGGTGAACTGTTCAGGTGAATGCTAAATTTTGAGAGAAACTCCATGCCTACTGTTGATGAATTGTATAACTCAGTCACCACCAGTGTTTTCAGAAATGTTCTGGACGCCAATGGTCTCCTGTGACGGTTAACAATAGTTACCAGTAATAAAAAGGCCCCATGGACTTTAAGGGCAGACCTGTCAGGGCACAGAAGCAAGAGTGCCCGTGAGGGCCGAACGTAAGTGGCGAAAGTCCAATTTTCCAGGGCGTATTATGACATCTTTAACGAAGATAGGGTGAAGATATTTAACCGTGGTTACTACGAAGAACAAGAGAAATTGTAATAATTTCTACATTATTGGAGGTTGCAGTAACAATTTTCGTGTTATGTTTTCAACAGTTGGTAGATGTTAACGAACCCCACTGAAAGTTGCCCCTAGAATTTTCCTCAAAATCAGGTGTAATGAGTTCGCACCAGTTTTTCGATGACAAAAGTACAAGGAACAAAAACAATATCACCTCCACAGCACGGTATAACAATGCAACAGCCAGAGAAAGCTTTTTTGAGCTAACTCACTTTGCACCTGGTGGATACTGTAAACTGTCAAAAAGAAATAATCATGAGTCCCGATGAGCTCCTTCCCACATGCTCTCTCCACCCTCACACACTCTATTAACCAAATACAACAACCACCACCACCCACCCACTTAACTCACACCACCACCACCTATACACGTCCCCTAACACCTACCACCCCTGAATTAACTCCACACACCTCCCCCATACCCCTCACCTCAATACAACCATCCTACCCTCCCTCCATCCTATCACACACCCCCTTCCACACGCCCCACACCCACCCCACCCACCCCCCATCTCCAACATACCCACTACACTCCCCCTCCTAACACTCACCCCCACACCTTCCCCACCCCCATCCACCCCCCCCCCCAACACAACCCAAACCTCAACCACCCCCACCACACCACCCCCCCCTATAACCCCCCCCCACCCCCCCTCACCCCCCACCCCCCCAACCACCCAAACCCCCCACCCACCCCCCCCCCAACAACCCCAACCACCCCCCCCCTAACATCCCACCCCACCAAACTCACCCTCACACCTAATCCCCATCCAAAACCCACCCCCAAACCACCCCACAACTACCCACCAACCCCCCCCCCACACCACCCCACACCCTCCCCAACCCCCCCCCCCCCCCCCCCCCCACCCCCACCCCCCCCCCCCCCACATACCCCAACCACCCCCCCCCCCCACATATAACCCCCCCCCCCATACCCACCCCCCCCCCCCCCCACCTCCTCTCCCCCCACACACCCCCACCACCCCCAACCCCCCCCCTCCCCACCACCCCCCCCCCCCCCCCCACAACCCCCCACAACTCCACCCCCCCACCCCCCCTAACCCATCACCTAACAACCCCCCACCCCCACACCCCCCCACCCCCAAACCACCCCCTCCCATCTCCTCCCCCCCTCCCCCCCCCACCCCCAAACCACCACACCCCCACACCCCCCCCACATTTTCATACCCCATCCCCCACCCACCTCCCAACCCCCACACCCACCAACTCAACCCCCCCCCTCCCCCCCCACACCCCAACCCCAACCCACACCAACAAACCACCCCACACCCCCCCCCCCCCCCCCCCCCCCCCACCTCCCACCCCCACCCCCCCCCCCCACCCCCCACACCATCCCCAAATCACTATCTCCTCCAACCATACCTCAAACACTACCACCAATTACCCTACCACTCCCTAAGCTCTCGCCAATAATCTCTATCAATCCCTCCCCTCCAACAACAAACTCTAACATCCCATCCTACAACCCCACTGGCCCCCCCCCCCCCCCCCCCCCCCCGCCCCTCTTCTTTCTACACCTACCCCCCCCTCCCCCCCCCCCCAACCCCCCCCCATCCCAACCCCCCACATACAACCCCCACTCCAATACCACCCCCCCCCCGCCCCCCACTCCCCACCCCCCCCACCCCCCCCCCTCCCCCCCCCCCCCCCCCCCCACCCCCCCCCCCCCCATCCCCCACATATATAATATATATATACCCCACACCCCCCCCCCCCACCTCCCCCCCCCCCCCCCCCCTCCCCCCACCCCCACTCCCCCCCCTCCCCCCCCCCTCCCCCCCTCCCTCCCTCCCCCCCCCCCCCATCACCCCCTTACAACAACTCTTACACAGTGGCTTCATGACAGGGCCCCAGCCGGGTCTCTCCTCTAACTAGACTGCCAGTGGCTGCGAAGCAGAGACCCTGTGCATCCTAGTGTTTAGAGAAAAGAGGAGAAGGGGAAGGCGGGGGAGGAGGATGGAGAGGTGGGTGGCTTTTGGGTGTTGAACGAGGGGGAAGTGGGGGTGGAGGGGTTTTAGGTGATGGGTTAGGGCCGGGGTGGGCTGAGGCAGAGGTTTTGGATGTTGAACGAGGGGGAAGTGGGGGTGGAATGGTCATGAGGTTAGGGGAGGGACTGGCTGAGGTGGTTTTTGTAGGTGAATTGGAAACCCTAGGTGGTTTTGGAGGTACATATGGGGAGTGGTTTAGAATGTTGGACAGGACTCTAGATCGAGCTAATATGGGTGTGAGAGGAATAGTCTTCATCGCCGATTTTATTAGCCCTGCAGAGTGTTCAGGTAGGTCTAACAGTGAAGGCGGGGATGAAAAACAAAGGGAGGTGTCCCCATTCTCTCTTGATGGAGTGGACGTGGCAGGGGGGACCCAAGACAGGTCCATGGGAGGTGGCGAGGGAGTCTTTGATGGAGGGGCAGGTGGTTGAGGAAACCCCAGCACAGGCCTGTCTGCTGTAGGCTGGGGATGAGGATGGGGGCTTCAGAGGCGCTGTAGATGAAGAAGGCGTGACTGCTTTGGAGCAGGCTGGGGATGATGCAGCTGCTGCTGGTGATGATGCAGCTGCTGCTGGTGCTGCTGCAGCTGCTGCTGGTGATGATGCAGCTGCTACTGGTGATGATGCAGCTGCTGCTGGTGATGATGCAGCTGCTGCTGGTGACAGTGGAGGTGTTGAGATCCTTCGAGGTGGTGGAGGTGTTGAGATCCTTCGAGGTGGTGGAGGTGTTGAGATCCTTCGAGGTGGTGGAGGTGTTGAGATCCTTCGAGGTGGTGGAGGTGCAGAGATCCTTTGAGGTGGTGGAGGTGTTGAGATCCTTTGAGGTGGTGGAGGTGTTGAGATCCTTTGAGGTGGTGGAGGTGTTGAGGTCCTTCGAGGTGGTGGTGGTGTTGAGATCCTTCGGTGTTGAGATCCTTCTCACTTCCGCCTCCGTCGAGCAAAGACGTGTCTAAGTCCGCTCCTGCTTCTGACTGCTTGCTATCTCCTGTTTATGTCTTTTTCCTGGAGTTTTGCCACAGACAACTTTAACAAGAATGGAAATGATTAACTGGTCCCTCAACGCAATTGATTCTATCTTTTCAACACGTAAGCGTGGGTCTGGAGAGCCCGTGTGCCCGGACGGGACTTCACCAGCGGGGTATACTCTTGACAGCTGGAACAAGTTTCAGCCCCTCTGTCTGTCGACCCTGTCCATTGAAGATTCAGTAGACGTATATATCTTTGGCATTTTGGTGGTGGGAATCCTCCTGTTTGGGTTTGGAGCTGTTCTCTTCTACCACAAATTTGGAGGAATGGCAGTTCGCAAGATTCACGAGCTGCTGGCCGACAAAATTGATGGGATGTACAAGGAGCTTAGCCGCGTCGTGGTTGAGAGTGCCGTGTCTGGACAAAGGAGAGTGGTTTTGGTGGAACAGTTGGTTAAAGACCTCGCAGCTCGTTCACTCGAAGGGAATAAAACTCTGGAGATGAGATTGAATGACATTGTGTGTCAGGCTTGAACTCTCTGACCCGGCTTGGATCTGCCCCTGTGTACGGGATCTGAGGGCGCGCGCAAATCGGTTTAATTGGATTTAATAGAATATCTGCCTGCTTTTGACTGCTACATTGCATTTAATATTGTCCCCCTGAGGCGATGTGTTTTTCTCCTGCTGTGCCTTCTCTCCACTCTTATCTCACATTCCTTCGGCCAAGGCCATAATAACAAAGGTCCCATTTACAACAACTCACACTATTCAGTCTCCAGCTTGGATCCCCTACCCCCGCCTCCCTCTCTATCCATCTTGCTCCCTCCCTCCCCTCCACTCCTCATTGTGTTTCCGACTCACCCCCCTCCCTGACCCCGCCCCCCTCTGACAGCCACATTGGGCCGGCTGTCGGAGGTGCTCATCCCGAGAAAAAATCCGTGCTTTATACAAAGCACAATGTGTCTATCCAACTGTCTGTGAAACTGTATGTTATTGCTCTCTGCTGTTTATTCTACTGTTTGTCGCATGGCGCCGTAAAGATGGCGCCGTGGCAAGAGCTCTGGTGTGTGTCGTCTTCTCTGTCTGGTGCACACCGGGGTAGTCTTGCACAGTTTTTCCAATGTGGTTTTACTGCAAATGGCAAATAAATGAATCTGAATCTGAATCTGAATCTGATCTGAATCTGAATCTGAAGGTGGTGGTGGTGTTGAGATCCTTCGAGGTGGTGGAGGTGCAGAGATCCTTCGAGGTGGTGCAGGTGTTGAGATCCTTCGAGGTGGTGGAGGTGTTGAGATCCTTCGAGGTGGTGGAGGTGTTGAGATCCTTCGAGGTGGTGGAGGTGCAGAGACTTTTGGAGTTGGCTTCCTCCCTTTCGATGGCTGCATGCGCTGCGCAGGCTGAGGTCTCAGGGCAAAAGAAAGGTTATCCATCAACACTTTTACTCCGTAAGTGTTCAGATGTGGCCCTTTCCCTTCAAAAAGCTCATGCCTATTCCAGAACAGATTAAAATTCTCAATGAAGACAAGTCCTCTGCGTGAACATTCGTTGAGTAGGAAAGTATTTCAACCTGGAGAGACTTTGAGGAGACAAAATGCGTTTGAAGTTTTTTATTGAAGGTAGTTTGGCGCCCTAGGCCCCGGTGTGGCGTTCAGTCAGCGAGGCTCCTGCGAGAGTGCACGCACAATCCCCAAAAGGCAGTGTGTTTGATGGGGTTTTAGGCAGGCCTGGTTAGCAGGGGACGTCGTACGTGCACTGCTATATATAAAGGCAACACTATATATAAAGGCAACACTATTTATAAAGGCAACACTATTTATAAAGGCACCGCTATATATAAAGGCAACACTATTTATAAAGGCACCGCTATATATAAAGGCAACACTATTTATAAAGGCAACACTATTTATAAAGGCACCGCTATGTATAAAGGCAACGCTATATATAAAGGCAACACTATTTATAAAGGCAACACTATTTATAAAGGCAACACTATTTATAAATGCTCAGCTGCTGCCGCCACCAGGGAGTTTTGCAAGTGCTTTACGGGGATGCCACTAGACGCTGGGCTGCCAGAATGGTCGAAGTGTCAGGCCTGATGTATGAGGAGAGGGCAGATGATGACCAGAGACCCAACTGCTGAAGGGCAGAATGGGGAAGACCCAGGGAAGCAGCGCGAGAGGCAGCGCCTATCCGGTGAGAGTGAGCTGTGTAGAAATGAGGGGACAAGTTACAAAGCAGCAGTACAGACTTGAGTTGGGCTCTGAACCAGTTAGATGTCATGGGGAGGTTGTCAGGAGTGAGGAATAACGGTCCGTTGAGATCTCCTTTCCGAGAGCGGAGACGAGTGTACGCATCATGGATCTTGAAAGTGTGCTAGAGCGAAGTGCGGCGCAGAGCTGGTGGAGGATGGACAGTGTGATGGGGCGCCTGTGGTCCGAGGAATGAGGGGTGCAGTTGTGAATGCCTTTGATGACGAGTTTGATTGATGGATCAGAGAATAGAGAGGAGAAAGCGGGGTTGTGGATCCCGGCGAGAAGAGAGCTAATGTAAGAGATCTTGTAGAGGAGATTGTCCGCACAGTGAACTATGAAGGCGCAGATGGTGCAAGCAGAGAGCGGAATTAGGGGAATGCTGTGAGCATAGCAAAAGCGGGAGTAGACTTATCAAGCAAAGCAGTACGATTTCCGCGTGGAAAGTGAGAGGCCCATTTTCATGTAGGATGAGGCGGAGGAGAGGAGAAGGTGAAGAGACGGAGGGACTAGTCCAGGGCGAGGGATTCCATGGCGTTGAATTGGCAGAGGGGCAGAGGCGTCGGAACTCCTGGAATTTAAAACGAGAGAGACAGTCAGCAATACGGTCAAGGTGACCAGGGACGTGACGAGCAGTGATGATAAATTATTTAGGACTGAGAGCCATGTGATGCGTCTGAGAAAAGGCATGACTTGGGGAGAGGACGAACGACCTCTGTTAATTATTTCTACCACGTCGAGATTGACACACATCACAGAAATCCTTTTCTGTGCCACGTGTGGCTCCACGGCGCGCAGGCCATGGCTACGGGATGTATTTCATGGAGGGCGGAGGAGATGCTTTGAGGGAAGGAGTCGGGCCGGGGCCCGGCGAACCACTGGTCCTGGAAGAACCCCCAAAAACCCACGGACGGGGCTGCGTCCGTAAAGAAACGCAGAGCATCGGGGGACGGGACGACGTCGCTGTAGAAAAGATACGTTGTTCTAGCGGCTCAGCAGACGGGACCAGAACGCCAGGTCGGAGCGGCACCCAGCGTTCAGGCAGACAGCATCATTGAGGGAGGGGACGGAGCCAGCGAGGGAGAGGAATCTGGAAATAAAAGAACGACCCTGAGGGATGATACGGATGGCATCATTGAGGTGCCCGAGGAGGGAGAGCAGCTGACGCTTCGAAAGTGACGGAGAAGACAAGGCAGACCGGGAGAAGCGCGGATGCGCCCAAGCTTGTCCGGCGGGAGGGAGGCCTCCACGGCGCGCGTGACGAGGCGGATGCCGAGAACTCCAAAGCGGTGGCGGGGCCGGTGGTCTTATCTTTGGAGTGAAGGAATCCGAGGGCAGAGAAGGCGGGCCTGAGCTTGCGGAGAGAGCCCCCGGAGCAGTCTGAGGGTGGGTTGACTACGAGGGAATCATCGGGGAGATGCAGGACAGAGGGGAGCCGTGCGTAATTAAGCAGAATCCGACACGGCGCCTCCGAGAGATTGTTGAACAGAGAGGGACTGCTCCAGCAGTCAAAGGTGAGGCGCACGGCGAAGAAGAACTCTGACGCCACTTGACCCCTGAACAGACGCCAGTGGTCGGGGTGGATGGGCAGCAGCTCGAACGTGTCCGGGATGTCAGCCTTGGAGAGCCAGGAGCCAGGGCCGAAAGTCTTTATCAGCCTGATCGCGTGGTCCACGGTAGCGGACTGCAGGGAGAAGGGCGCTGGAGGGAAGGGGCTGTTGATGCTCGGGCGGGCCCGGAGCGGGGACAGGAGAGGACGAATATGAGACGCTTCTTCCTGGAGTGCTTGCGGGTGGTGATGCCCATCGGGTTAGAGCGAGACGGAGAGAAGGGGCCAATGACGTAGCCCACGGACACCTCCCGCGCCCGAGCCGCGTGACGACTTGGGGCTCACGGAGAGCCGGGAAGAGGTTGCGGGACACGAGAGACGCCGAGGGACCTAAACAGAGCTTGCAGTCCAATGTGAGGGATTTAAACAGAGCTTGCAGTCCAAAGTGAGGTGTTAAAACTGAGCCCGCAGTCCAAGTGAGGTGTTTAAACTGAGAGCCTGCAGTCCAGTGTGAAGGAGTTAAGCAACTTGTAGTCCAAGGTGACGGATTAATACTGAGAGCTTGTAGTCCAATGTGAGGGATTCAAACAGAGCCTGCAGTCCTAAGTGAGGGATTTAAAACTGAGAGCTTGCAGTCCAAAGTGAGGGATTAAAACTTAGAGCCGCAGTCCAAAAAGAGGGATTCAAACAGAGCTTGTAGTCCAAGAGAGGGATTCAAAGAGAGAGCCGCAGTCCAAGAGGTTAAAGAGAGCCTGCTGACCAATGCGAGGGCTTTAAACTAAGAGCTTGCACACTAATGCGCGGGGCCAACTGAGCCTGCAGTACAATGCGAGGGGAATAAACCGTCCGCAGTCAGCATACTTACCCACAACGCCAGAAGACAAGGGAAAGACAACAGGACCACACCGTACCGGCACGAGGAGGCAGGGATGCGCACAGCTCCCACCGCACCGGGCCAGACCGGCCGTATGCAGCAGCAGGACGAGACGAGCAGCGGCAAACCCGCAGAAAGAGCCCGCAAAGGAGGAGAGCGGCAAAGACCCACGGACCACAGCACGAGACCCGCAGCAGGTGCAGCGACGCAGAGGAGGAGCAGACCACACGC